CTCTTTTGGCCACATTGCTTACTTACACTATTTAGAAACTTGAAAGCTCCAGGAAACGTACACTTTACCTTCATGATAGAAAAGGATATTCAGGCATCTCTTACCAGTACTTTAGATGTGCATAAATATATAGTTGATATATATACACATATATAATATGCATAAATATCCATGTAAATCAATATAACAGAATTTCTATTTATAAAACATACAGTTGGTATGGAGAATGGCTTAAAAGTATGCCAAACATTTCAGTAAATATTGTTCTATTGCAAACAACTCATAATTCTACGTGCATTTTCTTTAAAGGTATTCATGAGACCCCTTAAAAAAATGGTTCAACCCAGACATGCACTTGTTTGTCTGTGGTAGTTAGAACAACTCTGTTCTCTGTTAAAATCCTGTGGTACAAGCAGTAGGTTCTCCTTCTCTTTTTCAGAAGAGCACTGAAAACTAGAAACATCAGTTTCATACAGAGTAGAAATTTACTTTATGTAGATTTGCAGATTAGCATTTACTAGTTTATCTCTTTTATTTTTTCTATCTTTCTTTTAAAAGATCTCCACTGATTATCCTGACACCTGCTGGCAAGGGCAGAGTTGATTCCAGTCTATTTTCCCTTTGGCATACCAGACTTTTTAGAGGTATTTTCAGTGACAATCAGTGGTAATTCATTGTTTAAGTAGTTATAGTATTTAATTTATAACATTAATATATAATTATGAGAAAATTTTCAATACATACTCCACATGGGCAACCATTTGACTCTTTGTATATAAAAGCATGTTTGCTTTGATTAACCAAAAAATATTATAATCATTACATGGGCAATGATTTAAAAGACAAAAACTAAAATAAAGAATGCTAGGCATCTTCATTAAAACATAGATAATTGAATAAGAATGACTTGGCTTTGATTTTCTACTTTTTAGTAATAATATCAGTTGGTAAACTACTTAGGAAATAAACTCAACTACATAAAGAGTAAATTTATCAGCTATGACAGAAGACATACAATTAATATTTGCAAAATTCGCTATGTGTCTCTCAGTACCTACTCATTCTGATTTCCTCTGGCATGAACTCAGTTCTGAAGCCTGTAATGTTTTCTTATTTTGTTTCGTTTTGGCAAGAATATAATGAACCTACTACATCGTAAATCATACTCAGTGCTATTGCACCTGCAAGTGTGTTCACTAAACAACAAATGTCAGAATTAGTTTCTTAGGCTTTAGAAAACACTCTAATCAAGCAAGTTTTTAAAACAGTATACAAAATGATAACATATACAGTCCATTCCATTCTTTAGAACCCTTCAAAAGATGAAAAATTAAAAAAATAAATTACCTAATTAAAATTTCATCTTTATTAATTAACATCAGTGAAATTAGGGGTCTGGACTACAAATTTGTACTCTCAAAACTGTCAGCCTTATGTTTTGTAATGGTTTAGTAACCAAGCGATTTTATTTTAGTCATGAATACTTTATCTCTTTACTTTATACTGCTATAATTTTGTGAGAAGGAAAAATCATATGTATCTATCGATGAAAGTAAATTTTATTAACATATTTATTAAAAATATCCTAGAACTTAAGTACATGTTTATATAAACACTGACTTAAGATATTTGAGAAAAATACAAGTTTTAATTTAGAGGAGAGTTTAGTAATGGTATACATTTGCCAGTTTTAAAGATCTTTGTTACTTCAAGACCATAGAAGGAAGAATAGACCATTTCAATTTTTTAACCATTAATTTGTATTATTACAAATCTTTTCCCCAAACGATATAAATTTAAAACAAGATGCATTTCAATTCTAAGAAAACATTTCAAAAATAATCAGAAAAAATTGCAGGACCAGAGGAGGTAAAAATATGTGTTGTATCATGACAGTGTATGACATGGCTAAGATTTTGCATCAGTGCCAAACAGTCATAGCAGGACACTTTATCTTCACTTATTAACTTTTAATTCAATATTTCAAAATTATTTTTAAATGTTTCACCAGGAATCTGAAATTACTCTGTATTATTAAAGTATAAAATTTATGATCATGTAAATTAGGAAATGAAGATACTAATATGTAATATTTTTTAAAAATATAAAAACCTGTTATTTCAGCATAAATATTACTTACTAATCAGAGAAAGATAGTATTGTTATCTCAAGTGAGATTGGTCAGGTATCGATATATTTTCAGGTAGAATTAACTAAAAATCGCCATTGATTATAAAAAGGAACTGCAAATGCCAATGATTCATAGTATTTAGGACATGTCTAGACATTTTTAGACAGTGCCATTTGCTTAAAGACTTCAGGCACAAACTGCAGGCACAGGGACAGATTGCATAAGATGTCACGTGCTTGCTGCAACTGTATGCATGTTATTGGATTTTTTAGAGCAACCCATAATGATGAATAATTTAAGAGTTAATAAAATATTCAATCTGACTGATCCATTGGTTTAATTTTAAAATAAAAACGACTAATAAAAGGAATTACAAGTCCTTATCAAATCCCAGAAATTAATGCATGGAAATTGCAACCCATACAGGGAAACACCAATTTCTAAAAGGCACAGGTGTACATTAGATAACTGATGTGGGGTGGGAGGTGGCAGGTGTGCAGGTGAAATTCTCAGTGTTAACACTGGCTTCAATAAGTTTGCTCAAAGTTTAATTGTTTGGAGCTGTCACACAAGCTGCACTCTGCCTCTGCAGGGCTGAGAGAGAATAAATTTAAAAGGTACAAGTTTAACAAAAATTGCTCATGAAAAATGGTCCATTTCTTTCTAAAGCCCGGAGCTAAAAAAAAAAAAAAAAAGAAAGAAAAAAGATAAAAGAAAAAAGAAAAGAGAAGAAAAGAAAATCTACTGAAGAATATGGAGTATACAGCTGCCGGAGCATTGTCTAGGAGCCTGAATGGGGAGGCCAACCTTATCACAGTTGGTTTGTCTGGAGGAGTAAGCTATCCCCTAGGCATGGGTAGGTATCTTCAGGAGGCAGAGGTCCAGGCTGCAGCGAGCTGGGACTCATTGCGCCCCAGGGCTCCTGCGACTAGGCTCAGCAAGGCTAGCGCTGCCACACACGATAAACACAGTATTCCTCTCTCCTCCTCCACCCTCTCTGCCCTCCACCTTCGCGCAGGGACAGATGGTGGCGAAGCACGGTGTAGGTGCGTGAGTGGGTGAATGTGTGTGTTTTCGTGTTTGGGGTGGGATCGGAGGCGGGGAAAGGAGGAGAGGGGAGTGCCTCTTTTAAATTTATTCTCTCTCAGTTCCCCCCTTCCTCTTCCAGCCAAAGAATCAAAGTGCAGAAGAAATCTATACAGGAAAAAAGAGAAAGGAAAAACATCAATGGTGGGAGCACTGTCTTTTTCGTGTCGATGGGGGACTCAGCCGAGCAACTACAGAGCCATTACCATTCCTTAACCTTCAGTGGAGTGGCTGCCTCTGCCTAATCACTGGAAGGGCACTTCGTAAACGCAGGCGAAACACGCGCGCGCGCGCACACACACACACACACACACACACACACACACACACACCCACACCCTACAAGCTGGGAAAAGAGCCATATTCTAGGGAAGGGCCGGAGGAAGGCTGACGAAAGGAGAGGCCACATATTGCTACCGACAGAGCAGGGAGGGCATGTGGCCAGGAGCACCTAGCTTCTTGGGCGAACAGTAGTCCGAAAGTACACAATTTTCCTGGGAAACAAATGGATGGGTGCATGCATGGATGGTGCAGAATATCCACACACTGTCTAATCTCACATGGATTCTAGTAACATATTTTTTAATCCAACTACCCATCTTTAGAGGCATGGCATTTTAAACCCTGTAGTGCACTCAGCTCTCCACTTGAAGCAGCCTGCGGATCCCTTAGAAAGGGGATGCCCACATCCCTGAGAGTGTTAGGGGTGCAGAATACCTCGCGCGGCCTCCCCAGAGCCCCTGCCTCTCCCCCGGTCCTTTCCTGGTGTCAATTTCAGCCTCCACCTGCGCAGGAGATGGGGCCAGGACCAGGGCTTGTATGGACAAGTCACCTCTTGCAAAGGACCTGGAAGTCAACTACACAACTCAGTAGGAGACTCGCTGAAGTTCGTTCTCCCTCTCTCCCTCACTCCCTCTCTCCCTCTCTCTCTCTCTCCCTCTCCCCTCTCTCCCTCTCTCCCTCTCTCCCTCTCTCTTTTGACGGCTGGTTTATTTCACGCAAGTCATGGAAAGCACCACTAGACCAGCTCTTACAACTTTTCCGCTACTGGGCAGGGGCGCGAGGTTGTCTCGCCGGGCGCTATTCTCTATTTCCAAGAGTTACGCCAGTACTCGAAGGGAGTATTGAGCAAAGCTCGAGGCCCCTGGGGTTAGAGCAGAGGCGGATTCCCAGGATTTTTCTGTAATCGATGCAGCGCATCCTGGAGAGGAAGGCGGAAGAAAGCCGAACTGACTTGTCAGATCCGTCTCCATCTCACCCGTGGCCAAAACTCTCAGTGCCGGGTTTGGAATTACAAACCACTCAGCTGATTTCCCCGAGGAAGCACCGCACCCCGGGGGCGGAAGGTCCTGCGGCTCTCCAGCCCCTTCGCATTTCGACTAGGTGACACCCCGGCACACTCGCTTCCTCAGCTCGAGCCCCACGAACGTGCTTCCCCAGCACTGCTCTCGGAGCGTTAGTATAGCAACCAGGTGGCTGAGTGAGCTGCAGAATCTCTGGTTCCCAAGAGCACCGTTCCTTCTGGCCTCCCCTCTTTCTTTGTGATTCCTTTATCTCACACCCGTACCCCGAACCCTGTTCCCTTTCAGCTCCGCGCACTCGCTTTGACTTCGGGAGCACTTTTGGGGGGAATTCAGGGTGCGCCGCCACCTTGGCGCCGCCTGCGCTACTCACTACCCCTGGCCCGCCCGGGGGACCGCCTCCAGCCCCCTGCGCGGCGCTTCCCAGGGGACTCCCCGCCTGTCCCGCACTGCACCCAGGGGTCTGGGCCCCGCCGCCTCACCTTTGCAGAAATGGGGGACACAGAGGCTAAGCCCGACCAAAAGCCAAGCGGCCAGCGAGCGCTTCATGATCCCTTCTCCCGGACGTGACCCCGGCTGGTCAGGGGTCTCCGCAGAGGGCAGTGTCGCTGAGGTGGCACCTTAGGGCAGCGGTAGACCCCGCCCTTGACGGTGAATTCAGGAAGATGTCTTCTTCCCGCAGCGCTTCCTTAAACAAATTCTTAGAGAGGGCGAGAAAGAGTGGTGACTGGAGAGGAATTTTTCTCCTTTTGCCTGCTCTCGGGTGCAAGGAGGAGGCGAGCTCCGGGAGCCGGCGGGCTCAGCTTCGGCTGCGTGTGGGTCCCGGCTAAGGCGCGGTGGGTGGGGCGGGGCGCGGGCTCCCGCGGCGGCTCCGGGGGACCCGCAGCGGGTGCGCTGGGCTCGCGATGCTAGCACCCCTCTCGCCACCACGGCTGTGGGGCTTCTGACTTGGAGAACAATGAAGCGTGAGCGGGCGGGGAGCGAGGCGGCATCCGGGAGTGCACTGTGTACAAACAGAGGCGGCGTGCGTGTGAACCTAAGCCTCGCAGGCGCTCTACTCCAGCGCCCGCCCGTCCCGTCACCCCCCTCCGCCACCCCCACCCCGTTCTCCCTCTTTTTCCCTCCTTCAGTCTCCCTTTCCACTCCTCCTCCGCCCCCCTCCCACCTCTCTCTCTCTCTCTCTCTCTCTCTCTCTCTCTCTCTCTCTCTCACTCACTCTCGTGGCTCCTTCTGCTGGAAGAGAAAAGGGAGACAACTGCAGCCACACCCTGGCACCTGCCACGGCCTCTGAAGTTTCTACATTCTTACATTGCACGTACCTTTTCCACACACGACAGAGACTCTGGGGTTAAGGGAAGCACCTTTGGGGGCTCTTAGTGTCCAACGCTGACTTTATAATTAAGCACGTTAAGGATTCCCTTGAAGTCCCATTCTCAGTATAGCCAGGAAAAGAAGTTAAGAGATTTTGAAAAGTGGCTCTTGGGGCACTGAGCTGCGTGAGAGACAGAGCACTGCAAAGTGAATTGTCCTGGATTCTCAGGAAATGCAACCTAGTCAGCAGTCACACTCTAATTAGCTAAGACAGGGCAACTCTACTGCCTGCATTTTAGTTAGCTTTGGGCTGGGGAGAGAGGGTTGGGGGCTCATCTGTTCACAGCGAAAAAAATGTGAAGGCGTCGGGCAAGTGAATAGGAGACGTGCGTCTTGTTAAGCAGGACATCTTAACTTCAGATGATAAACATGGGGCGAGTTTGGAGACCGTGTAAGAAAATAAAAGGCAAGAACATATTCTTGAAGCACTGCTGAAGTGGATCAAATTACCCCCACCGAAAACAATATAAATGAACTGTTTTTGCTTGTTTGTTTGTTTTGCAGTGAAAGTGGCCGAACCAAAATATAGCTCATGGCGTACTCCTCTGTTTTTTGGTTAGGATGATTGCTTAGTGTACATGGATTCAATTCCAGCAGTTGCAGATACCAAAATGAAAGTTGGTTTTTTTTGTTTTTTTTTTTTGTTTTTCCTTCTTGAGAGGGAGATAAGAAGAGAGACAGAAATACAGACACAGAAAAAATGAAGGAAACATTCTTGAGGACAAGAATAATGTACTTACAACAAGGATAGTAGAGGACATTTGGCCATGCAATTTCATCTACTTTTGCCTCCTTGAGTCTTTTAAACTTAATTTCTACCTTCCTTTTGGAATTTGAAGTGAGATCAAGGATGCTGATGGAAAAATAATACTGCATACTGCTACCAAGGAGTTAAAGTATTGTATCACTGGCAAACAAACAAAAACCAGCAACAACAAAAATTATTTCAAATCAAAGTTTGTACAGATTTCATGTTGGGGGGGCATAAAAGAACATTTTTTTAAAAAATGACTTTGCTAAGGAAAAGAGGGAGGATCATTTATTCGCTGCTTTTATGCTTAAAGCCACAGATGTTAGAATAAGACATCATTGGCCAGAGTTGTAGTAAAGAAGTTTTTAAATAATCAAATTCCAACTTTCTGGCATATCATTATTACTTAATTTTGAAAGTGTACTTTCAGTCACGTTGTTGCTTGTCCATCAAAAAAGTACCTCTTTAATTTTTCGAGATGTTTAGTATTAGTTAGGCAATCTTTCTAAAGGATAGTACTAAATCTCAAAATGTAAAATAAAAAACAGTGTCTCTGTGATGAAATATTATTTTCCTATTTAATTCCTTGTTTATTTCCACTTTTCTGATAATATATGCCCTTAATAAGTAAGTTAGAAAATTAAATAACTTTTTGGAAAAAGTGTACATTACTAAAATTTTATCTTTTATTTTAATTCTTTAAAAAAAGAAAAATTCCAGGAGAGCATAAAACTACATTAAAATGTATATTCTATGTCCAAATACCTGGTGTTGTGAATGTAAATGTCATCCTGTATCACTTGGTCGATGACTTGTAAACTATGTTGCCAGTTTAATACCTCTACTCCCTTAAGTCCTATTTTAAATCTAAATTTGATACATAGGCTTAGATTCATAGCTCCCTGTGCTTATTTACCCCCTTTTTCCCCCTACTTATTGATAATGATCATGTACCAATAAGCTTTTCATTTTGAAAGTTTCAGGTACTTTATCTAATTTACATTTATAGAAATCATTTCACTCTTACTAATTCATATATAGAGCCTCTTCAGAAGTGAAATATAAGAAATGTTAAAAGACCAGAAGAAATAAGATTTATTTTAAAACAGAAAAAGTAAAAGAATGAAATTCTGTTATGAATCTTTACCTCACATAAAGTGCTAAGGGAGCTTTACTAATCACATATGATCCAGTCTACAGTTTTATAGCTTCTCCAAATATGTACCTAAAGTGCCGAAAAATGAATCTATACATCACCTGAAGATAGCACTTCCCAAAATATTTTCTGCAGGCTTACTTTCCCAAAGATGTTAATAGGTTTCTGGGAAAAACAAATTTTTTCCATGGTCAAATAATTTGGGGAAGCATTGCATACATATCAAAGCGGCATCTTTAAAATTCATGGTGAATGTTAGCATATGAAAACTCTGAAAGGTCCTATGGTTAAGAAACTTTTCCCAATGTATTTAATCCAGAATTTTGCGAACTTTTGTTTTTTCACTAGAAAAAGCTTTTTCTCAGGAAACTTGTTAAAATATTGTACATTTAATGCTACAAGGAAAAGAACTTGGAAAACATTGCTAGAAAATAAAGCATAATAAATTATCAGCGAGACTAATAAAAACAAGACTGTGGGAAGTTTACTGGTTTTCAAGAATTATTCTTACTAGCTTGGAGTCTGAGTTCTGGAACAGGATATATCTAAATTGGAATACTGTCTCTACCACTATCTCTCTTTTAATGTAAGCAAGTCAGTTAATTGCCAAGCCTCAGTATTCTCATCTGTAAAATGCAGTAAGAGTACTAACTCATAGTGATAGGTTATTTTGTTACAAAAGGGCCTAGCCCAGTAACGAGTACTCAGTGGTGATGATGAAGATGAATATGATGATGATGTTGATGATGATGATAAAGGAGGAGGAGGAGGAGGAAAAACTGAAAAAGAAGACAATTAATCACATATGGGATTCCAAAAGAATTTTTCTTAATACCATTCCCCATTCACCACCCCCATTAAATTATCTGAAAAATTTTAAATTAATCTTTTAATTTGTTCAGCAACAAATAACATTAAATACAATATTTCTTATTATTTCTGTAATTATTAAATTATATGGATAAATAAATTAGATATACAGGGTCTTAGATTATTTGATCAAATTATACTCAATACTATTAATTTTTTTATCATTTTGCATTTGAAAATTTTGCTTTGCATTTTAAGAACCATGTTTTTTTTTAATATCCAAAATGTTTGATTTTAGCTTTGTGAGATCCAAAGCGGAAAATCCAGTCAAGCCCACCTGGCCTTCTGACCTACAGAATTGTGAGCCAATAAATTGGTGGTGTTTTAAACCTCTAAATTTGTGGTAACTTGTTAAGTAGAAAGAAAAAACTAATAAGGTAAGTCATTATTATTATCCCTTTCTTATAGAAAAAGAATAAGGCACAGATCGATTAGGTAAATTGCCCATGGTCTCAAGTTACTAAGTGTTGGAGCCAGTAATTGAACCTAAACAGTCTGAATCCAGAGCCCACTACACTCTTCTGGCAACAGTTATGGAGAGTCAACTGTATGCTAAGCACTAATGTATTTTTACATATATTAATTCATTAAATCATCTCAACAAGCTTTATGAGATAAATATTATTATTATTTCCATTTAACAGTTGAGGAACCCAAGGTTCAAAACACTGAAGTAATTTGCCCAAGATTAAGGCAGATTAATGAGGGATGGAGCCAGAATCAGAGGCAGGATATGAGCCTTGGTTCGATTCTAGGAGTGATTTTCATAATCAGTATGTTGTAGCTTCTATTTAGACAGTCATCTAACTTACTTTATGTATTTATATTTTCAGTTGAAGTAGCTGTAATTGTAATTGTCATTTCTTTTAGTACAGTCTGCATTCTCTCTGCCCTTCTTGATCTGTCATTTTAGAGTATACTTTACTTGAATGTCGAGTTACAAGCACATTTTAAAATTCTCTAAAATATTTGCCTAACTCATAACACTTTTTTCACCACTCTCCATAAACACCAAGCTAAATCTTCCTCTAACGCTCTGCTCATGCTGTTATGACCATCTGAAATGACCTCTTACATATTCTACTAGCTGAATCCCTATCTCCTCACAAGACCTTCCCAAATTATTCCAGCACAACAGAACCATGATTTCTTAGAATTAACACGTTTTATTTTTCTCTAGTTGTTTCCTTGGTGTTAACCTTATCTTTCTAAATAGTTATAAATGGTTCTTGCCACTAAGTTAACTGTATATCTTAGACATAGCTGAGTGTTATGTGTAAAACTTCTTCAGTCTTCCCACAGTGAATACTAAGGAAAGTTAATTTTAAGGCTATACATTTGATACCAAATTCCTGGTTCCCAGTATTTCCTGCTTGATTCCTTGATCAATGTTGTTCCCAGGAAATATGCAGGGTCCTTATGCCAAGAGTAAGCCTTTGCCTTGAGAGTCTGACCCTGGTAAGAGAAATTTCTAGTATCTCTAATTCTTTTCCTCCAGTTTCTGGTTCAACTCATTTCAGTGACTTAAGTTTTTAGCTCCCTAAACTACTTTTTGAATAATTAATAATGCACATAATAAAAGTTCAAAGGTATAAACAGAGAACTTTTGTTTCCTTCTTAGTAACAGCCCTTCTCTACACAGAATGGTTGCCTCCCCAGAGCCAATTGCTGACAGTAGCTATTGTTGTGTAACCCTCTAAAGATGTGTGTATATAGTGTATATGTGTA